TCGTCCTCCCTCTCCCCCCCTCGTCCTTTCATCATCGTCCTCCCATTGTCGTCCTCCCCCTCATCGGCCTCCATCATCGTCCTCCCAGCATTGGTTTGTTCAGTGAACGTGGTTCAGGTCGCGGGTGGGTCGCGGGCTCTCCACCTCCACCTGGAAGGAATGCAAAAGCAGCCCGCCGCAGGCGCCAAAAAAATGTGGTTTGTACACTGAACGTGGTTTGGGTCGCGGGTGGGCCGCGGGTTCTCCACCGGGAACGAATGCAAAAGATGCCCGCCGCAGGCGCCGAAAAATGTGGTTTGTATCCTGAACGTGGTCGCGGGTGGGCCGCGGGCTCTCCACTTGAAACGAATGCAAAAGATGCCCGCCGCAGGCGCCGAAAAATGTGGTTTGTACCCTGAACGTGGTTTGGGTCGCGGGTTGGTCGCGAGTTGGTCACGGGGTGGGTCGCGGGCTCTCCACCTGGAAGGAATGCAAAAAAAACCCGCCGCAGGCGCCGAAAATTGTTGTTTGTACCTTGAACGTGGTTTGGGTCGGGGGTGGGTCGCGGGTGGGTCGCGGGGTAGGTCGCGGGTGGGTCGCGGGTGGGTCGCGGGTGGGTCGCGGGTGGGTCGCGGGTGGGTCGCGGGGTGGGCCGCGGGCGGGTCGCGGGGTGGGTCGCGGGGTGGGTCGCGGGGTGGGTCGCGGGGTGGGTCGCGGGGTGGGTCGCGGGGTGGGTCGCGGGTGGGTCGCGGGTGGGTCGCGGGTGGGTCGCGGGGTGGGTCGCGGGGTGGGTCGCGGGGTGGGTCGCGGGTGGGTCGCGGGGCGGGTTGCGGGTGGGACGACGACAACAAACAACAACAACAAATAACAACAACAACAAACAACAACAACAACAACCAACAACAACAACAACAACAACGAGAATCCGCACCGCGGAATTCCACTTCAGCCACGCTCCCAGGGACAGTGAATGACCGTTCGGCCCCCTCACTCTGATAATAATAATAGTAATTATAATAATGAGAACGATAATAATAATAGTAATAATAATATTAATACTGATAATATTAATAATAATAATACCAATAATAATAATGTTAATACTGATAACATACATAGTAGTAGTAGTAGTAGTAGTAGTAGTAGTAGGAGTAGGAGTAGGAGTAGGAGTAGTAGTAGTAGTAGTAGTGGTAGTAGTAGTAGTAGTAGTAGTAGTAGTAGTAGTAGTAGTAGTAGTAGTAGTAGTAGTAGTAGTAGTCGTCTCGTTCGTATTAGTAAGTAGTATAGTCGTAGTCGTAGTCGTAGTCCGTAGTCGTAGTCGTAGTCGTAGTCCGTAGTAGTAGTAGTAGTCGTAGTAAGTAGTAGTAGTAAGTAGTAGTAGTGTAGGTAGTAGTATAGTAGTAGTATAGTAGTAGTAGTAGTAGTTAGTAGTAGTAGTAGTAGTAGTTATGTAGTAGTAGTAGTAGTGTAGTAGTAGTAGTAGTAAGTAGTAGTAGGTAGTAGTAGTAGTCGTAGTAGTAGTCGTAGTCCGTAGTCGTAGTCGTAGTCGTATTCGTATCGTAGTCAGTAGTCGTATCGTAGTAGTAGCGTAGTAGAGTAGTCGTAGTAGTCGTAGTTCGTAGTCGTAGTCGTAGTCGTAGTCGTAGTAGTAGTAGTAGTAGTAGTAGTAGTAGTAGTAGTAGTAGTAGTAGAGTAGTAGTAGTAGTAGTAGTAGTAGTATTAGTAGTAGTAGTAGTAGTAGTATAGTAGTTAGTAGTAGTAGTAGTAGCGTAGTAGTAGTAGTAGTAGTAGTAGTAGTAGTAGTAGTAGTAGTAGTAGTAGTAGTAGTAGTAGTAGTAGTAGTAGTAGTAGTAGTAGTAGTAGTAGTAGTAGTAGTAGGTAGTAGTAGCTGCGACGAGCTCCCGTGGGGAGATGAGCGCTGGCTGTCGGGGTTGTCCGCGGGAGTGGGGCAGCTGTCGTTTATCTACGCGCGTTTCTCTCGTAGGTCTTCTTCGTTTCTGTTTTGCCCGGCCTGCGGCCACCACCAGTTCGGGGTGGGACCTCTGGAGGCTACGCCTCCGGGTGTCTTACCGAGCGTGGGGGGTGCCCCCCCCGAGTGGGTTCGACCTCGCCTCGTCGTCGCGCCGCGAGGCGGGTCGGAGCGCCTTCGGCGCGCGGTGGCTGCCCGCGACGGGGGTCGACGTGGGGCTGTCGGCGGGGGTGACGCCCCCCCGATGCTGATTAAGATACTCGGAGTAGGGTGGGTATCATGACCGGGGCCACGATGTCTGCGCTGATTTCATGGCCCGTTCTTCTTACATCAATACGTCCCCTTGACCCCCTCTCGTCCTCGTCCTCCTCCTGCTCCTCCTCTTCCTCCACCTCCTCCTCCTCCTCCTCTTCCTCCTCATCCCTCGTGCTCCGTCGCCATCGTTCCTGCCTCCTCCCCCCCCTCTTCCCTCCCCCCTCCCCGTTCCTCTCCCTCCCCGCTCCGCCCTCCGCAGTCTGGTTTCTCGTCCAACCTCCTCCTTAGGATTCTCCTCTTCCCCATGCCACCCCTTGTCGCGCCCCCGCGCGGCCTCCTCCCAACAGGGGGGGCCCGCGTCACGCACCCGCACGCGCCTCCCTCTCCCCGTCCTCGCCGTGGGCAGCGGCGCGGAAGGACACCGCCGTGCCGAGGTTTGGCACGGACGCGGGCCACGATCTGCGCGAAACCCCCTCGCGATCGCAGGGGCTGCGAGATCGAAGAAGAAAAGGCGCCTACACAGAACGGAGGAGGGAGGAGGAGGAGGAGGAGGAAGAGGAGGAGGAGGAGGAGGAGGAGGAGGAGGAGGAGTGAGGCGGAGGAGGGAGGGGGGGAGGAGGAGGAGTAGGAGGAGGATGAGGAGGGGATGAGGAGGGGATAGGAGGAGGAGTAGGAGGAGGAGGAGGAGGGAGGAGGAGGAGGAGGAGGCTCTTGGACGCCCCCGGCATAGGGGCGAGGCCTCCGTCGCCGAGCCGAAGACCTGCTGCGGGCAGGCTGAATGGGCTCGCTCGTCCCTCCTCGGCGCTCGGGGGCCAGAAGAGTGGCGGCGACGACGACCGCCACTGGACACTTGTACCGATACCGTTCCTCCGCCTCCTCCTCCTCCTCCTCCTCCTCCTCCTCTCACCCCTCCTCCTCCCTCCTCCTCCGCCTCCCCTCCTCAGCCTCCTCCTCCTCCTTCTTCTCTCCTCCTCCTCCTCCCCTCCTCCTCCTCCTCTGTCCCTCCTCATCATCATCATCATCATCATCATCATCATCATCATCATCATCATCATCATCATCATCATCATCATCATCATCATCATCATCATCACACATCATCATCATCCCCTCCTCCTCATCATCCTCCTCCTCCTCCCCCCTCCTCCTCCCTCCTCCTCCTCCTCTCCTCCTCCTCTCCTCCTCCTCTCCTCCTCCTCCTCCTCCCCTCTCCTCCTCCTTCTCCTCCTCCTTCTCCTCCTCCTCCTCCTCCCCCTCCTCCTCCCCCTCCTCCCCCGTGGCCCCCTTTTTTTTGTTGGGCCTCTTGGGAGCCCTTCGTCGCCACGGCGGGGTTGGCCTCGAGCTTGTTTCGTCAGGACGCAGCCGGGAAGAGGTCTGGGGAGTACAGTCGGGGCCCTGAAGAAGGAACCCTTTTCGTTGGGGAGGGGCTCCGCGTTCCTTACGTGTTTCACAGCTTGCCTCAGGTTGTCCTTATGTTTTCGATCGGAAATCGAAGTTTAACTTATGGGAAACAGGGGCCTCGTTCCTTATTTAGGGTTCCTTAGGTCAACGCCCCGACTGTACGCAGCGGTGTCGGTGTTGTTTGGTGTCTCAGTTTTGAAGAAGGACTTGGCATCGCTCGGACGTGTGCACTTTTCCTTCGGCGAGGACCATCGAGGAGCATCCTTGATCACTTGGCGAAAACACACACACACACGAAGCCGAAAAAAGCACAGGGAATGGACGTCCGAGCGATGGCCAGAGGAGCACCCTCAGTATCTGAACATGCTGGACACGTCAAGTTCCAGGAGCGTTCCGCGCGATGGTCGAGGCGCTGGCGGGGCGCCGCTTCCCCCAAGGCCACGACGACATGCTCACCGTGATACTGAAGCCTCTAAGGTGCTGGAGCGGAGGAGGAGGAGGAGGAGGAGGAGGAGGAGGAGGAGGAGGAGGAGGAGGGGAGGCCTCCTCCTCCGTCCTCCTCTTCGAAGGGTGACGAAACTGCACGTATTGCAGGTGTTCGTGCCTTTACCTTGTTCAGCTCCGGCCGCAGGCTCGTCGGCACCTTCGTGAACCGCGAGTTGGCAGCGGCGGCAGACGTGCAGCAAGAGTTTGTCCGTGGGGCGTCGCCGTTGAGGAATTCTACGAGCCTGGATTTACACGACTCGTGGGCTCACAAGTTAAAGCCCGATGTTCAGCATCTGCCCCGCCTTGGTCAGCAGTGCCATCAAGCGTGTGTTCTTCCTCTGTCAATCATCCATGGATGATGTGCTGCCGCCAACGTTGTGGATGCTGTGCGGTGTCCATGCTCATGGTCAGGGCACTACGCGGACCAGACCTTGCGGTTGTTTCCAGGGAGCACGCTGAGTTTCAGTTTTGCCTGTCATGTCATATCAGGTGTGGCACAAGGATACTCCGTGAATGGGAGCATCTGAGCGCTCTTGTCTACGCGCGGCGAACAGCAAAGTCAAATCACATAATCGCGAAGTATGCACGCATGCTTATGCACATACTTACACGTACATTTACACACGTACAGCATTTCAAGGCAAGGTGGAACGAATTATTCGGAGCCTCTGCTCATGGATCGCTGGCGCCATTCCCAGGCTTAACAGCATTCGCGATACCCAAAGATTTACCGATTTGGTTTCTCCTGTGTGATTGGGCAGCGGCCCGCGCAGGGACTCCCACACACGGCGCCGCTGGGTGGTCCCCGTTTCGCTGGCTTCCTTTGTCGTTTCTCGGCCATGGCATTGATCCTCCTGCTCTGGGGCAGAGCTTGGCCGGCCAGGCATGGGGGTCGGGGGGCGCGCCTGAGGCAGCTTACATCTACGGCTGGGATCAGAGCAAGAACAGGGTTGACAGGACCGCAGCCTGCTGGGCGCGCCAGGGTACCGGGGAGGGGGGGGCGGGGGAGAGGAGAAGGAGGGGCGAGGGGTGCGAGCAGCGAGGGCGAGGAGGGGGACGTGGAGGGAAGGAGGGGGGAAGGGACGCGCATGCGGGAGGAGAGGAGAACGAGGAGGAGGAGGAGGAGGAGGAGGAGGAAAAACAGGAGGTGCAAGGGCGAAGTGCAATTGGGAAGGTGAAGAGAGGAGCCTAAGGCGGACAGCGCCCTAGGAGCGATAGGGGGGGGACGCGGGTGGGGGGCGAGGTGGGCTTCCGAGCGTCCGAGGAGAGCGGTGAGCAGTGAGGCAGAGCAAACATGACCGTGGAGGGCTCGGCGACGACGGCTGGGCACGTGGAGGAAGAGAGGATGATGCTGCTGCTGCTGCTGCTGCTGCTGCTGCTGAGGAGGAGGAGGAGGAGGAGGAGGAGGAGGAGGAGGAGGAGGACATGGGGGAGCGAGGCACGACGAGCGAGGATGGAGGGGGGGGGGGGGGGGGGGATGCGGAGGGAGGAGGGCGTGGAGGCGGTGGACGTGGCTGCGGAGAGGGCGAGGCGGAGCTGCAGGAGGAGCGGGGCACAAAGAGAGTCGCGCTCGGCGCGTCGAGGGGCCCCAGCTCGAGGGGCGGCCATTCTTCAGGGCGGCCGCGCGAGGGCGCGACAAGGGGTGGTACGGGGAAGAGGAGAATCCAGAGGAGGAGGAGGAGGAGGAGGAGGAGGAGGAGGAGAGGAGGGAGGAGGGAGGAGGAGGAGGAGGAGGAGGAGGAGGAGGAGGAGGTGGGGAGGGCACTGCGGTTGATGGAACGCCCCAAGCAACTTTCAGAATCTCCGAAATCGCTGCCCTTCGCCAAGGGGCCGGCGCGAGGGCGTGAAGAGGCATGACGATGTTCGTGCGTCGCGCCTTGCTGGGCGCGATGCCCCAGAGCATGCGAAGGAGTAGGGCGCAAATTGTTGCGCCAGAAAGGTTCGGCATAACGTTCCCCTCGCTTCTGTCGAGCAGTCATCAACTTTTCGGAAGATTCAGCCATGCTGTGGAACCTTCCACAAACATGCCACAACGTAAAGCGGAAGCCAACACAAGTATAACGAAATCAGCGACGTAAAAGTATGGCGCACAGGAGTTTGAAGAGCATGGCGAGTTCTGTCCGCCCTACTTTCGAAATCGCCAAAAGTAGGGCGGATCCAGCGTCAGGATTGACCAGGCCAGTCTTTCTGGGCAATTCGCAGCAGGAGGAAGAGGTACCGATACATCTGTCGGGAGTGCGTATACAGAGGGGAAGTCCCAAGGTGAGATTTGGGGAACGAGCCCACTTGGACGCTCACACTTCCGTCTTCCCTGGGGGCGATGCAGAGCGAATCGCCTCCAACCCCACCTCTGCCTCGATCCCACCTGTGCGCGCCACCGACGCTGCGCGCCCCTCGTCGCCACGGCTGGATTCGCATCGGAGTCCTAGTCGTAAGTCGGGCCTGTCCCTCTACAGGAGGAATATTCAAAAATAGCCTGGGGACTATTTTTCCTCATTTTTGGAGGCTATTTTTCGCATTTTTCGCATTTAAGTAGTCAGGGGACTGCTTTGTCACATTTTTGAGCATCTTTTGAGTATGGTTTATTTTCCGTCCAAAATCCGCCTCGAGGGGGACCCCGCCCGACCTGATCCCACAGAGCGCACCCCGAGAGAGGTCCTGGAGCGGCGGCTGCAGCGTCTGCCCAGGTCCCCAGCAGCGGCGTGCAAGCGGGCGGTTGTCCAGGCGGGCTCCTTCTTGACGCCCGCCGTGCGCACTGGCTCGGTGCCCACTTGGTTCCGAAGCGTCACCGGGCCACTCTCCCCCTCCTCCTTTTCCTACTCCTCCTCCTCCTTTTTCCTCCTCCTTGAACTCCTCGGGTCTGCCCGCTTCGATCCGCGCCGGCCTTGCCGGGTGCGGCAGCCGGGTGGAGCAGCGCTCCCTTGTGGCTCGTCCCTGAGGTCTCGGACCTTCGCCCGAGTGGCGGCGGCCCTGGGCGAGAGGGTCTCGGGTGAGACGGCGGACCCGGGTGTGGGAGCAGGGTCGAATGCCCAGATCTCCCGAGGGGGGGCGAAGGCAAGCGCCCTTCTCGCATCGCGGCCTGGCTTGGAGAATGTCGGGGAGGCGCCCTCCCGCATGCGCGGGATCTTTGCGGTTACCTTCGCGTCGCGCATCGCAGGGCGCGATGTTCGGCGACACCTAGGGGGCCATCCTGGTGTTTCTTGGGGCCATCCGGGGCTCTTTCGGATCCTCTTGGAGCCATTTCGGGGCTCGTCTGGGCCCGGGTTGGAGGGCCTGGGGGTCGTCTTGGGGCCCTCCAGGCTCTACGGGCGGTCTGGGGCAGTCATGAGGCCGCTCTTGGACGAGCTCTGAGGCCGTTTTGGCCTGTCTTGCGGGCCTCTGAGGCCGTCTTGCAGGAGGAGGAGGAGGAGGAGGAGGAGGACGAGGACGAGGACGAGGACGAGGACGAGGACGAGGACGAGGAGGACGAGGAGGAGGAAGAGGAGGAGGAGGAGGAGGAGGAGGAGGAGGAGTGGGAGGAGGAGGAGGAGGAGGAGGAGGAAAAGGAGGAGGGAGGAGGAGGAGGAGGAGTGGGAGGAGGAGGAGGAGGAGGAGGAGGAAAAGGAGGAGGAGGAGGAGGAGGAGGAGGAGGAATGGGGAGAGGGCGAGGCAAGGATTCGAGACGGGCTCGAAGGGTGGGGGGGCAGGACGAGTACTGCCCGCGCCTACCAGGGGGGATGGTGAGGGGCAGGGGGGGGGGGGGTAGGACGGCCACTACCCGCGCCCCCGCGGTCCGCCCTAGCTCGCCACCCCCCCCCCACCCCCATGGCGAAGGAGGAGCTTACCCGATCGCCCAAGCGGCGAAGCAGAAGGCAGCCGAGACATCCCCCACCGACGACAGCAGCAAGCACCAGGCCTGGGGTTCGCCCCCACCGAGGGCACCGTGACCCCTAGCCATAGCGGGACGAGGTGGGGCCGCCACGAACCCCACTTGAAGTCGGTGCATGGAGGCCTCTTAAGTGCGTCCATAACCCACACTACAACCCCTGCAACAATACGCTCTCCCTACGACCTGACCATAGACATTCAAGACGACCATCTACAACCTATGGGACTCGCCACCGACCGATCACCCCCCCCGCAACCACCACCTATCCAACCACCATCACCATCTCGATTCTATCAGCCCACTGAAAGGAGGTCAGGAGCAGGGACCTAAGCAGTGCGGCATGACTCAACCATGACTATGCCTGCGGAAAGGAGGACAGGAGCAGGGTCCTCAACAGCATGGCTTGATCAGTACGCCACGGAGACACTGATAAGGGGGACAGGAGCAGGGTCCCCAGAACCAATCTCCAGATGGCACACCCGCAGAAAGGCGGACAGGAACAGGGTCCTCGGCTGCGAGGTACTACAAAGACAACCAACCCCAGAGCCTCTACACCACCAACAACATTCACCACCTCGACCAGACCAGCCCGCTGAAAGGAGGACAGGAGCAGGGTCCTCAGCAGCGTGGCGTGTTGAGCCCACCACATCTGAAGCTGTGCTCAGCACGTCCGACATCTCAGGGGAGCTCAAGCAAAGTGAAGGAGGCGGCGCACCGTGCGCCGCGGCGAGGCCTTCCCCAGCCTTCGGGCCGAAGGGGGGAACGGCCCGCCCCCCGTGTAACATACGGGGGCCGCCAGCTCAGCCGAGCTCGAGGGCGGCTAGAGAAGGTCGGACGCCCCTCAGCTCGCGAGCAAAGGAGAGGCGTCCGTCGCAAAGGAGTTCGTGGTGGACCAGTTCGACGCCCACATGAAGGCGCTGGACTGAAGGGCTGCGCCGCGGCGTCCGCCACCGCGGCATAGAGCCCTCACTGAAAGGGTTCGCTGAAAAGGGGAGAGGAGGAGGAGGAGGAGGAGGAGGAGGAGGAGGAGGAGGAGGAGGAGGAGGAGGAGGACGAGGAGGACGAGGAGGAGGAGGAGGAGGAGGAGGAATAGCATAATTATATTGTTGATCGTGATGACGACGACGACCTTGGTGGTGGTGGTGATAATGATGATGATGATGAGGAGGAGGAGGAGGAGGAGGAACGAGGACAGATGAGGCAGAACGAGGAGGAGGAGGAGAGGAGGAGGAGGAGGGAGGGGAACGAGGAGGGAGGAGGCGGAACGAGGAGGAGGAGGAGGAGGAGGAACTGGAGGAGGAGGAGGAGGAAGGAGGAGGAGAAGGGGGAGCCTCCTCCTCCTCCTCCTTCTCCTCCCCCCCCCTCATTTTCCTCCTCCTCCTCCTCATCCTCCTCCTGGAGGGGGGGGGCGATAAATGGGGTGGGTGGATCGGGCGCTGCGAAGTTGGGTGGCGACGGGGTGGAGACTCGAAGACGAGAGAATACGCCATAAACATGAGCTTTCGGAGCTCCGCGCGGGCCTGGATCTGCGCTTGGGCCCCCAGGCGGCGCCTGCGGCGCCGGACCCGGCGCGCTCTCCGCGCGCCAGGGCGGGGGGTGTCCAGCGCCGATCCAGGGAATCCACGCGGAGCTTCGAGAGTGTGTGCTTACGCACGCCGTTTTTTCCTCCTCCTCCTCCTACTCCTCCTCCTCTCCTCCTCCTCCTCCTCCTCCCGACCTCCTCCCCGTTCCTCCTCCCCCTCCTTCCTCATCCTCCCCCTCCTCTCCTCCTCCTTCCTCCTCCTCCTTCCTCCTCCCCCTCCTCCTCCGGCGACGAAGACGACTGCGGCGACACGAGGCCGCGCCCGCAGGGTGCGGGGTGGAGATGGGCGGGTGGATCGGGCGTTGCGTCACGGGGGGGTGGGGGCGATGGACTCGCGGGCGGAGAGCAGTGCGCCTTCTGTGCACCGGGGGCCCACAGGGGGCCTCACGAGGTGCACGCTCTCTCCTCCCCACCTCATCGCCCCCCCCCCCCTCCCATGAGGCCACACCCAGGTGGTCTGTCTGCTCCTCCTGCTCCTCTCCTGCTCCTCGTCCTCTCCTCGTCTTCTCCTCGTCCTCTCCTCCCTCCGCCCCCGCCTCCGAACCCACCTCGCTCTCGCCTCAGCTGCTTCCCCCCGCCCCCCACCCTTCTTCCCCTCCCGCCGCTTCCGCCCCCGCTGTGCCAGTCGTCGGGGGGCAGGCAGAGCGCTTTCGCGGAGGGCCGAGGAGTCGGAGAGCGCAGCCGCGGGCAGTGCGAGGCCGCGGCGTGTCGGTCCCCGTTCTGAGGCTGCGCCCCCCTTTTCCTCCCGCATCTCTGCTTCATTCAAACTTCGCGCGGCCCGCTTAGCTTCGACCAGAAGAGGTGCGCTCTCGACCCGCGGATCAAAAAAAAATCCGTCCCTGGCGAGCGCCGCGACCGCGCAGGAGCCGCAAGTTCTGCACCCACGTCCTGAGGCACGAGAGGCTCACCGCCGACTTCAACGAGCTGATGGAGGCCCCTCGCGCGCCAGAAGCAGGGGGCGCAGGGCCTGGGAGGCTGTCTCTAGGGGCCTGCCCCGTCGTCTTTGGGGGCCCCCCTCTGCGCGTCTCTGGGGCCCTCTTGGGGCCGCCTCTGGGGCCGCCTCGGGGCCCTGTCGGGGCCGTCCTGGAAAGGCCTCCTCGGCCGCCGACCTCAGCGAGCCTGCGGGGGCGTTCGCGCGCCCAGCTCGGGGGGGTGCGGAAGGCTTCGTCTGTTCTCGGCGGTTCTCCAGCCTTTGGATGCTCTCCAGCAGCTGCGCCTCGCAGAGCGGTCGGGGGGGGGGGCCGGAAACCATGGGCTCCTCCTCCTCCTCCTCCTCCTCCTCCTCCTCCTCCTCCTCCTCCTCCTCCTCTTCCTCCCCCTCCTCCTCCGGGGGCCCGGAAACCATGGGTTGCACACTGGAGGGGGATCGGTTCAGGGGGAACGCGTCGGCCCCCCAATCGCCCGTGGATCGCCGCTGCGGGGCCCGACATGCCCACCCCGCCGAGGGCCGCGCGGGGTTGCGCTCCGTCGGCGGCGCATCGCCGAGTGCAGCTCGATGCTTCCATGAGAGGGGCTTAATCGGCTACAAGTAGGTAAGTAGTGCCAGGTTCGCCCCGTCGTTCGTCCGCCGCGCGGCGCTAGTGGGTAAGTCATCCAGGTTCATGCCGTCGTTCGTCGCGGCCGCCACTTGACCTGCGGTAGAACACCAACATTTCGGAAGGAATGCGCGTAGGGCCCCGTCGGCCCCGAGTCCTATTGGAAAACCCATGGTTTTTTGACCAGTTCTCTTGATCTGGGATTCTCGCATACCTTTTCTTTCGTCTTGCGATCCGGGCTCAGAGACGACAAAATAGAATCCAAGAGGTAAACGCCAACATTTTGGAAGGAATGCGCGTGGGGCCCCATCGGCCCCTATTCCTATTGGAAAACCAATGGCTTTTTAAACCGGTTCTCTGGATTTGGGTTTTGTGTGTACATATATATATGTGTGTGTATGTATGTATGGATGTATGTACATATATATATATATATATATATATTCGTCTGGCGATCCTTGCTCGGAGACCGAATCGAATCCAAGAGGTAAAGCACGAACATTTCGAGAGGAATGCGCGTGGGGCCCCACTGGTTCTGATTAATTTCAGAATGTGTGGAATGCTTGTTTCGCGGATTCGTTCAGGAATTCATTCATCGAAACTTCGCAAATTGCGTGGAAGTGTTTTTGTTATAAAAAATATCGGTTATTTGTTCATCCCGAAAAGTTAGTAATCAGAGTTTGTTTGGTGTGTTGTTCGTCGATTGAGTAGAGTAGTTCGCGCCGAAATGCGAGTTTGTCTGTCGTTGTTCGAGAAGGGTGGGTATGTTTCTTCATGTCGCGTTGTTTGTCGATAGAGAAGGGGCTTCAGTATTCAGGAAAATCAGTTCGTTGTTCGTTTGTCGTCTTTCCCCAGTATGTAGTTCAACCTATAGAGACCCCCGTCATATGCTTCCCTCGAGTCGGGCCTGTCCCTCTACAGGAGGAATATTCAAAAATGGTCCAAAAGTAGTCGGGGATGATTGCTTGAGTTCTTTTCGCCTCTCTGGGGGGATTGTTTGGGAGTATGTTCTGAAGCTTCTCGCCCAGAGAGTCCGCCTGTAGGGGGACACGCCCGACCTCATGCTTCCCCTCCAGCCCAGTCCCTGCCGTCGCTGCACCTCGCCGGCGGGGACGCCAGGACAGGGTGGCTGCGGGCGCGCGTCGGCCTCAGCCAGGTCGCCCCCCGCGGCGTCTCGCGCCAGGACCGGCCTCGCGCGCCGCGGCCCGCTGCGCGGAGCTGGCCTTCTCCGGGGCGGCGCCGCGAGGGCGCGGTGGCAGCCGCGAAGCGCCGGGCGCGGCGCGCGAGGTGAGGTGATCTAGATGATCGCAGACGCCCGCGCACGTCATGATAATCATGATAATGATGGCCACGATAATGGCGCCTGCGTGCGTTATTGCTAGTACGTAGTGCGAATGGCCATGAGAGTCACGATGATACGACCTCGCTAGGCTAATACTGCAGAGAAGACGAAGGCGAGGAGGCCTCCTGGGGGCTTTCGGGGGGCTCCTGGGGTGACCCCTGGGGCCTCTTGGGGGCCTCTCCCTGGGAGCCTCCAAGGGACCTCTTAGCCTTCGGAGGCTGTCTTGGAGGCCTGTCTACTCGCATTGGGGCCCTCTTGAGGCGCTTTAGGGTTATCTTGCAGGTCTCTGGGGTCGTCTTGGGGACCTCTTGGGCCGTCTTGGGGCCCGTCTTGGGGCCTTATGGGGGCTCCTGGGACCGTCTTGGGGCACGTGGAAATCTCTCTCAGGGCCGTCGTCGGCTGTCGGAAGCCGAAAGACAAGTGCGCGAAATTGTGTCAATAAGCAAGTGAAGATCACAGATTTGTCCTCTTCGGGCCCTCCTGGGTTGCCTGTTGGAGACGCCTGTGTACGTCGAGTCACCACCGCCCCCTGCCTGTGTGGAGATGCGTTTGGCCGAACGATGGGCCAACGTCTGGCCAAGCTGCTGGGCTGTGCGCTTCCCCAGCCGTTGTGGAAATCGTATGGGGAGCACTTCAGGGGAGGAAAGGAGAATGGGAGGATGAGGAGTCGGAGAGGGAGGAGTGGGAGGAGGAGGAGGAAGACAAGCGTAAACCCAAGAGTTATCAACGATGCTGGAATCCTCCCTCCAAGCTCCCTCTTCACAGGCCCCTACGACGGTTCATCTCCACAGATGGAAGTTGCCTCGTTGCAAGACAACCGTTTGAAGACCCTGAAGCACGCCAAAACATTGGTCTCGGGATTCCAACGCCACGGATCAACCGAATTGTTGCGTTTGGACGAACCGGAATCGTGCCAGTACGCATTTACTGGAATTTCAACGCCGCGAATCAAGGTCATTGTTGCACCCTCGTAATCCTCAGTCCTTCCAACATGTAAGTTATGGTACGTTGATCCTGGGAGTCCGTGAAACTCTTGCAAATGTTGAAAAACGAATGTACGTGGCGCTAAGGCGAGAGCCACATTTTGAAAAAAGCTTCTCTCACTCCGTGAAACTCTTGCACATGTTTGAAACGAATGTGCGCGGCGCCATGGCGAGAGCCACATTTTGAAAACGACCCGCCCTCAATCTGTGAACCTCTTGCACAGTTTGAAACGAATTTGCGCGGCACTAAGGCGAGAGCCACATTTTGAAAATGGGTTGCCCTCGATCCGTGAAACATGAAACGAATAGGGGCGGCGCTAAGGTGAAAGCCACATTTTGAAAACGATCCGCCTTCCATATGTGAAACCGTTGCCAATGTTTAAGCTTCAGGGTCATGCATGATGAAGAAGTCTCAGGCGAAACGCCCGGCCCGCCCTAAAAGCTAGCCTCGGGGTGCGACAGGGAGAAGCTGTTTATACGGAAAAGTGATGGAAGAGGAATATCAACAATGATAACAATATCATTTATGACAGTAAGAAGAATAAGGCTAAACACTGTAATCATATGAATGATCATAATAACGGGAGGATGATAATGTGAATGTTCATACATACCAATACTAATAGCATGGATACTAACGACAATAATACACATACTAACACTAATAATGATAATGATGGCCATGATGTGATAAGATTCTATAGGCGATCGCCACATCCGCCGACCCCTGTGTTCGAAAAGCGTTGTGGTTTCTCTGGGGTCGTGAGGAGGAGGAAGAGGAGAAGGAGGAGAAGGAGGAGGAGGAGGAGGAGGTGATCGCGGGGATCTCTTAGGGGGGCTTCTCGCGGGACTCTTGGAGGCAGTTTCGAAGCCTCTTGGGGGCCGTTTTGGGGCCGTTTGGGGCCCTCTTGGGGGCCTTTGGGGGCTTCTTAGGGGCGTCTTGGGGGCCTCTTGGGGCCGACTTGGGCGCCTCTTGGGGGCCTCTTGGGCCGTTTTGGGGCGGTCTTGGGGTGCTCTTGGACCGTCTTCAACGCCGTAAAGGCCGACAAGTCGTATATGATGAAAATGTACGCTTTCCCATAGGAATTTGATGATTTTCGTCTCTTCGGCCCTTCTGAGGACTGTTCTTGGAGGCCTCTTGGGCCGTCTTGGAGGCCTCTTGGCTCGTCTTGGGGCCATCTTGGGCGTCTTGGAGCGCTCGTTTGGCGTCTCGGGGCCCTCGTGGGCCGTCTTGGAGACGTCTTGGGGCCTTCTTGGCACGTCTTGAGCCCCTTTTGGGTCCAAAAGAGCCCGTGGTTCGCTCGGGCCGGGCCCGGGGGGGGTCAAATCGTCGGTTTGGGGTCCCATGGGGGGGGTTAGGGGGGGGAACTATCTCTCTCACACGCCTAGAGACCCACAAGGGGTCGGCGGATTACCTTGTTAATTATACGAAGGGGACGAAGACGAGGAGGCCTCCTGGGGGCCCCCTGGGGGCTTTCGGGGGGCTCCTGGGGTACTCCCTGGGGCCTCTTGGGGGCCTCTCCATGGGGGCCTCCAAGGGACCTCTTAGCTGTCTTGGAGGCCCGTCTACTCGCATTGGGGCCCTCGTGAGGCGCTTTAGGATTATCTTGCAGGTCTCTGGTGCCATCTTGGGCCGTCTTGGGGCCGTTTGGGGGCCTTATGGGGCCTCATGGGGGCTCCTGGAACCGTCTTGGGGCACGTGTTAATCCCTCTCAGGGCCGTCTTCGGCTGTCGGAGGCCGAAAGATAAGACGGCGAAATTGTGTCAATAATCAAATGAAGATCACCGAGTTGTCCTCTTCGGGCCCTCCTGGGTTGCCTTTTGGAGACGTCTTGCAAGCATCTTCGGCCAGTTGGGGACCATCTGTGGCCATCTTCGCTGACATGGAGGGCGTGTGGCGCTTTGGGGCCCTCCTGGGGACCGTCTTCGCTGCCTTGGAGCTCCTCTCGGGGCCACCTTGGGCGCAAAGCCGATGAACACTGCTTTCTTTGGGTGGCCGGCCGGGTGGGCCAGGGAGGCCAGTGGGATCCATTTTCAACCACGCGCAGAGGGGGGTAAGGGGAGGGGGGAGGGCTTCTGAGGAGCACGCCTGCTTCTTAGAAGGCGCGGGCCGTATCTGTAGATCTGTAGATGCAGGGCCCGCGCCCTCCAGGACGCAGCCTGCTTCTGAGAGGCCTCCCCCCTCCCTCCCCCCCTCGTGCGCGCCGCCAACGTATGGATCCGACGAAGGCATCTATACACCTTAGGCGATGCTTAAGAAAACTCAAATGTTCGGCCAGAGTCTCGATTATTCTTAATGTTTCAATGTAAATCCTAAGATTTTAATGGAAATTCTGAGTTTTTATTCACGTTCTGAGACTATGAATTTCTGAACCCATGATTTCTTAAGCATTTCGCAGGGTGTACACCACCACCGTGCCAGGCCAGGGCCATCCTGGGCCCTCTAGGATGGTGTATAGGCCCTCCTGGGTCGGCCTAGGAGGGCGTATGCACCATCCTATAGGGCCCAGGATGGCCCTGGCCTGGCACGGTGGTGGTGTATAGATGCTTTCTGCGTACACCTTAGGCGATGCTTAAGAAAACTTAAGTTTTCGGCCAGAGTCTCGATTATTCTTAACGTTTCAATGTAAATCCTAAGATTTTGAAGGATATATTGGGTTTCTATTCAAGTTCTGAGACTAAGAATTTCTTAACCCATGATTTCTTAAGCATTTCGCAGGGTGTATTGGAGGGACCAGCGCGTGGTCTGCTTCAGCATGCCAAGCACCCCCGTGGCAGGTCACAGGGGGCCGCGGATCCTGTGGCTCTGGGCAGCGGGCGCGTCCTGCCGGTCCAGCCCGGCGGACCCTCCCTCGCACCGCCCGAGGAGGAGGAGGAGGAGGAGGAGGAGGAGGAGGAGGAGGAACGAGGAGACAGATGAGGCGGAACGAGGAGGAAGAGGAGGAGGAGGAGGAGGAGGAGGAGGAGGAGCAGGAGGAGGAGGAGGAGGAGGAGGGAGCGGACGACTCGTGCGACACCGAGGAGGAGGAGGAGGAGGAGGAGGAGGAGGAGGAGGAGGAGGAGGAGGATGGCAACGATGATGTTGGAGAGGGGAAGAGGCAGGACCAGGAGATGGCCTCTTGGGGTCGGCCTCTGAGATGTCTCCTGTGGTCTCCTGAGGCAGGCCCGGCTTTCGTGTGCCAGCACGGGCGGGACGGACGGGCAGGGGGGAGGGGGGAGGGCTTCTTAGAAGCACCCCTGCTTCTTAGAAGGCGCCGCCTAAGAAACCCTCCCCCCTCCCCCCACCCCCTTGTGCGCGCCGCCAACTAGTATGTACTTGTTTAAGCGTCACAAGGCTATCTGACAGAGTTTGCGTCGCACGACGCATTGGCAGGCCGCGCGAATCATTGTGAGTTCTGGCACCCCAGCGCCGCACCCGCAGCACCCTAGACGTCGCCCATGCGCATTCGTACAGTATATTGTAAAAAGAGTCTCATCTTGTCTTAAAGAGTGGCATTGGTGTAGTGAACATGTCTGGGGTTCATTTCTCCTCCTCCTCCTCCTCCTGCCTCATCCCTTGTCATTATAAATGCCTCCTCCCTGTCGCACCCCCAGACGTGTCAGTAGTGCAGGCCGGGCGTTTCGCTTCAGACTCCTCACCATGTATGATCTCGAAGTTTGACATGTGCACCAGTTTCACGGATGGAGGGCGGTTGGTTGCTAAAAGGTGTTCTCGAATAAGCGCCGCGCGCATTCGCTTCGAAAGTTTGCAGCAGTCTCACGGGTTGAGGGCGGGTAGTTTTCAAAATGTGGTTCTCGCCTCAGCTCCACTGGTGTAAAGTTTGCAACCGTGTCACGGATGGAGGGAGGGATATTTTCACCATGTGATTCTTTCTGTAACGCCGCTCATATTGGTCGCAAAAGCTTGCAACAGTTTCAAGGATTCGTATGGTTTGAAGTCCCAGAAATTGCGTGCTGGCGCGGTTTAGGATTGTCAGTACGTGATGGTCATCTGGATCTGCTGCGTTGAAGTCCCAAGAACGGTGTGTTTGAAGCGACTGAGGATTATTAGACAGTTGTCTCTCAATGGGCCACTTCTCACAATGAGCATAGTGCAGGGACCTATGAAGAGGACATTTGGAGGGAGGGTGTATTGCAGTATCGCTGATGCTTCTCACTGGCCCTCCTCCACCTCCTCTTCCTCCTATCTTCTCCTATCACGCGGGTTGAGCGCGAATCGCTCTCAACATAGAGCTCTCGCTGCACGGGGAGGCCACGCCGAGGTGGGCCCCCCCCTCCCCCCCGTGGCCCGCCTGCCTCGCCATCCGCGGTGAGGCGCGCCCCCCGCAGTGGCGCAAGTGGTGCTCGCGCCTCCCGCGGTGGGCCTCGTGCTGACCTCCCCACGAGGGCGGAAGTGGTAGTCGCGCCGCCCTCGCGGAGGCACCCCCTCGCGCACGCGTGGTGGTTCCCTCGGGGGCCGCCTGCAGAGCAGCGGGAAGCGGAAAGAGCAGGAGGAGGACCCGGAACAAGAAAAAAGCGCAGGCGGAGGAGGAGGGAAGAGGAGGAGGGAGGAGGAGGAGGAGGAGGAGGAGGAGGAGGAGGAGGAGGAGGGTTGAGGAGGAGGAGGGTTGAGGAGGAAGAGGAGGAGGAGGAGGGAGGAGGAGGAGGAGGGAGGAGGAGGAGGAGGGAGAGGAGGAGGAGGAGGGAGGAGGGAGGAGGGAGGAGGGATGGAGGAGGGGGGAGTGGAGGGGAGGAGGCAGGAGGGGAGGAGGCCGGAGGGGAGGAAGGAGGAGGAGGAGGAGGGAAGGAGGAGGGATAGGAGGAGGAGGAGGAGGAGGAGGAGGAGTGAGGAGGAGGAGGAGGAAGGGAGAGGGAGGAGGTGGACACGGAAGAAGAAACAGCGCAGGGCGCACCTACGTTCGGAGGACCGCGGGCCCCCCGCGCCCCCCCCCGCCTCGCCTCGGGCGCGCGCCCGCGCCCCGCCAGGGCAGGGGCTACCCGTACAGGCTCGGCAGCGGCACGCCGCCGAGGCTCCGCGCGCCGCCCCTGCCTGCCCGCCTGCCCCGTGCTCTTTCCCTCCCTGCCTCGGCCTTTCCCCCCTGCCTCCCTTCTCTCCCCTCCCTCTCCTCTCCCTTCCCTCCTCTCTCCCCCCCTCTCCCCTCCGCCCCCCCCCCCCCCCTCCCCTCCCTCTCCTCCCTTCCTCCCTGCCTCGTGCCTTCCTCCACTCCCGCTCCCACCACCCCTCCCTCCCTCCTCCGGCGTCTCCTCGTCCCTCCTCACCCTCCTCCTCATCCTCCTCCTGCGCTCCTGCGTACTCCTCCTTCTCCTCCCCTCCCTCCATCCCTTCCCTTCCTTCTCCCCCCTCCTTCTCCCCCCCCCTCCATCCCTTCCCGTTATAATTCTAAGCCGCTCGAAGCGAAAAGTTCTTATGCCACAGCGTCTTACTTTGCTTTGGGGCAGAAGAACTGATCCGGTAGCTGACGCGGCTCTCTACTTGTTTCTCCTTCTCTGGGCTCTTTACTTGCTTTTTCTTCTCTTTCTTTTCATGGTCCCAAGAGGGCCCCATAGGTTTCCAAGAGGCCCCAAGAGGCGCCCAAGAAGAGAAGCTCCAAGAAAACCCCAAGAGGCTTCTGAAGACTTTCAAGCGGTCTCAAAGAAGCCCTCAAGAGGCCTTAAGAGCCTCTCCCCCCCAGAGGCAGCCAAGAGGCTTCAAGAGGCTCCCGGGACTGCCAAGAGACGCCCAAGACGCCCCAAGAGGCCTCCAAGAAGCGACCAAGAGGGGCCCCAGAGGGAGGGCCCCAAGAGGCGATTTTGACGGCCCCAGAGGAGGGGGCTAAAATCCCACCAGCCTTTTAGGGCGTGAGTGGTTTTAATACCCCCCTCGTCCAACCCCCTTCTTCTCTTCGGTACCCCCTCCCCCTGGACCTGGACGGGGCCTTTCGCGAGCGGTCAGAGCGTGCAAGATGGCCCAAGATGGCTCCAAGAAGGCCCCAAAGAGCTAAAGATGGCCTCCTAGATCGCTGACGATAGCCCAACATGGCCAAAGATAGCTTGCAACATACCTCCAAGAGGCTTTAAGACCCCTCCAAGACGGCTCTAAGTGGCCTAAGGGCCTCCGACGGACTCCCTGGAGGCCAACAACCGTCCAAAACCTAATAGAAATCAATGTTTTTGTTTCCCTTCTCGCCGTTTCGCTTCCGATGGGCTTCTGAACACGAGGGGTCCAAGAGAGGCCCAAGGCGGCCCTAAGAGCGCCCAAGACTGCCCCAAGAGCGTCCCAACTTGTTGCCGCCTTCTTTGTTGGTCGATGGCCTCGAAGATGGCCCAAGAGAGGCCCAAGAGGGGCCTCAGATGGCTCCAAGATGGCTTCAAGAGCGCCCCGAGAGGCCGAAACCTTTCGAAAACCTTAATTCGCCGGCCCAACGGGCCAGAGGCGTGCTAAAATTTTTGGAAACTGGTAAACTGGTAAACGATATTTCTAGGCCAGCCCCTGGAAGTCCCGGGACGATAAGTACTCCGGCAAGGTCCCGGCAAGATCCGCCGAAGGATGCCCGAATTCCCGCAGGCGGTTTTCCCGACCCCCAAAGCGCTCCAAGACGGCCTCAAGAGGCCCCTAAGATGTTCCAAGAGGGCTCCGAGTCGCCGACCGATCGGTCCAAAACGCCCAAGATAGCCTCCAGACGGCCTCAGACGCCTCCAAGACGCCCAACGAGGTCTCCAAGAAGAGTTCTCAACAAGAGGGCACCAGGAGGCACAATTCATCGATTTCTTTTTGGTTTTTGAAAGATGTGGGCGTTGTTCTCACCTGTTCGGCTTTTGACGCTGAAAGACGGCCAGAGAGGCCCTACACTCCTACATATCGCTCCAAGACGGCCGGGGAGGCCTCCAAGAGGGCCCCAAGACGGTCCAAGAGGGCCTCCAGACGGCCCAAGAGGCCTCAAAGACGACCCAAGATGGCCCCAGGACGGTCCCAAGAGGCTACCCAGACAGGGAGCCCGAAGGGACATTCCGAGCCCTCGGCCCAAAGAGGCGCCCAGGCACCGAATTGGGCGACGGGCACTTGCAGTGCTGAAGGTATCGACGGCGATGTACCGTGCCAGGGGCTGTGCTGCGCCGTGCTGTGCTGATTTGGGATTTGCCATGCTGCGCAGAAGTGCGCTGTGCTCGATTGCGTTGTGGATCAACTCGCCCGTGGCCTCCGAATCCTGACCGAACTGATTTGGATCTTAAGCTCGAGCTGTCTGAACACATGATTCGCCCAGAGCTGGTCGCAATTGAAACGTGCGGCGCTCTCAACCAGCTCGATTTCAAGATCCGATTCAGTTCCGAAGCGGGGCGAAGCAAGAGGGGGCGAATCCGAACCGAGGCCAACCGTACCGACGGAACACCCCGCGAAACACCCCACGAAACAACAGACAAAACACCCCGCGAAACAGTCCACGGGACACCCCACGAAACAGAAAGGATTCGAGCCCCAGGAGAGGGGCAATCTATAGGAATACACGCGGAACGGCTAGGGCTCGAGCCCCAGGAGGGATACAGAACCGCATGCATGGAACTGTTTTCACGACACCGAATTTGGCGACGGGCATTTGCATTGCTGAAGGTGTCAATGGCGATGTACCGTGCCAGGGGCTGTGCTGTGCCGCGCTGTGCTGACTTGGAATGTGTCATGCTACGTTGAAGTGTGCTGCGCTGGGCGCTCCATAGGATCACACGTAATCCTGGACAGGGCCAATCTATAGGAATATACGTAAAACACACGTATTCGTGCCCGAGGGCCAAGCTATACGTATTGAGAGGGCCCATCTATAGGAAATTACGTAAAAACGAACGGATGCGTGCCCTTGGAGAGACCCAATCTATAAGGTATGTGAGGGCCCATTTATATGAATATGCGTAAGAACACACGGATTCGTGCCCCTGTAGAGGGCCAATCTATGGGAACACACGTAATCTTGGAGAGGGCCAATCTTTTGGAATACACGTAAAAACAGATGTCTTCGTGCCCCTGGAGAGGGCGAAGCTATAGGTAACGAGAGGGCCCATCTATAGGAACATGCGTAAAAACACAGACGCGTGCCCCTGGATGGGGCCAATCTATGGGAGCGTACGTGATCCGTGCCCCTGACCAAAGTGTGTCCCGCACCCTGTGATTTATCGATCGCGATTTCAAAAGCCAGCGTTTCACTAGGGACATCCTCAAATTTTAATTCGCCGGCCCTACGCGACCTTGTCATTTATCGCAAAAGAAATTCGATGGCCCTACAGCCGTCAGATCCGGGGGCAAACCCCTAAAAGAGAACCCTGGGCCTGTGCCCTTTCCGGGAAAAAAGGTCCCAAGAGGGCTCCAAGACGGCTCCAAGAGCGCCCCAAGCGCGGCCCAAGAGTGGCCCAAGAAGCGATTTGGGGTGCTTTGGCGTGGGGGCCGGGAAAAGTACCTTCCCTTCTTTCATCGATGACCTCGAAGATGGCTCCAAGATGGCCCAAGAGGTGCCCAAGAAGGCCCCAAGACGGCCCCAAGGGCGCTCCAGGAAGGCCCAAGAGCGCCCCAAGAGGGCCCGAAGGGATTCATTCTAAGGCCCACAGGAGCTTCCAAGAGGCTCCCATAGCCAAATACGTCGTCGAGGTCGTCGTCGTTATCGCCATCGTCGTCGTCGTCGCCTTCGTCGACGCCGACGCAGCCGTCCGTTCTGGATGCTGATAGCATGCGGAGTTTCTCCTACCTCCTTCTGCAGTCTGTTGCCAAATTCTGGTTTCTTCTGCCTCCTCATACCCCCTCCTGCCATCTGCCTCCTCATATTTGCTCGCTTGGTAGAGCTGCAAAACACACACGGGTGACCAGCGCCGTGGGTTTCAGGCCCTCCCTGGACCTCCCCAAACCGCTCTCGCCTCGCACGCGGACTCCAAAGCTGAAGGTAGAACGGCAAAGCTGCAATGTAACAAACAATGCAATGCAAAACATTGCAATGCACAAGACACTGTAATTGTGATCATGGTCGTTGGTGCCGTGGGCTTCAGATCCTCCCTGGACCTCCCCAACCAAACTGCTCTCGCCTCGCACGTGGGATCCAAAGCTGAAACTAGAACGGCAAAGCTGCAATGCAACAAAAATACGCAATGCAACACAACTACAGCGCAAAACAAACTGTAATTATGATCATGGTCGTTGGCGCCGTGGGCTTCCGACCCTCCCTGGACCTCCCCAAACCGCTCTCGCCTCGCACGCAGAATCCAAAGCTGAAGTTAGAACGGCAAAGCTGCAATGCAACAACAGAACATGCAATGCAACACACATCTGCAATGCAAGAAACTGTAATTCTGATCATGGTCGTTGGCGCCGTGGGCTTCAGACCCTCCCTGGACCTCCCCAAACCGCTCTCGCCTCGCACGCGGGATCCAAAGCTGAAGCTAGAGCGGCAAAGCTGCAATGCAACACAATAATATACAATGCAACACACATTTGCAATGCAAGAAACTGTAATTCTAATCATGGTCTTTGGCGCGCTTCCGACCCTCCCTGGACCTCCCCAAACCGCTCTCGCCTCGCACGCGGAATCCAAAGCTGAAGTTAGAACGGCAAAGTTGCAATGCAACAAACAATGCAGTGCAAAACAAAGTGCAGTGCAAAGAATATTGTACTTCTGATCATGGTCGTTGGCGCCGTGGGCTTCAGACTCTCCCTGGACCCCAAACCGCTCTCGCCTCGCACGCGGGGTCCAAAGCTGAAGCTAGAACGGCACAGCTGCAATGCAACAAATATTGCAATGCAGAAACAATGCACTTCTGATGGTTTTTGGCTCTGTGGGCTTCAGACCCTCCCTGGATCTCCCCAAACCGCTCTCGCCTCGCACGCGGAATCCAAAGCTGAAGCTAGAACGGCAAAGCTGCAATGCATAACAAAATGCAATGCAAGAAACTGTACTTCTGATCATGGTCGTTGGCGCCGTGGGTTTCAGACCCTCCCTGGACCTCCCCAACTCGCTCTCGCCTCGCACGCGGGATCCAAAGCTGAAGTTAGAACGGCAAAGTTACAA